GTCACCGTCGTGACATGAGCAAGCTCATAATCCGGTCTGCGTGACAACGCATCAGCCACAGCAATCTGCTTTACTGGTCACCTCGAAGTTATATTCTGCGAAGAACGAGAGCCATCTGGCAATCCTCTGTGAGAGTTGACACGACTGAGTCGCAGTGCGCAGTGAGGCATGATCTCTGAAGATCACAAACGGCTTTGAGCATAAGTGCATACTTGATCGCAGGTGATCCCTTGTCGTGGACTGGGTAGTTCTTCACTGCAGCCTTAAGCTGGCGAGACTCGAACGCGATCTCCCGATCTCGCTCCTCGGCGTCTATTCGCAGCAGTGCGCAGCCGATGACAAAGTATAAAACGTCAAAGACGACACAGAATGGATAACCAGGATCTGGCAACGCCAGTATTGATAGATGAAGGAGGCCCCGGCAAAAGGCTTCCGATGCTCTGTGTCCCAACACCATTCCGCTCCCTTCCTAAGGAGATTCGACAATGGCCGTGTCATTTCAGCATGATTTGCGCTTATCATATGCAAGTAGTTGGCGAGGCCAAGCCACTTGTGCAAGTTTGTTCTGGTTCTTTGGAGCCGGGGTCCGCTCGAAGGCCACGCTTTCCAATGATGCACCCAAAAAAGGGAATTGCTTCCGCGCCTAAGTTGCACGGATCTGCATTAGCATAGAGCTTATTCGTGCGCATGCACTCGAGCACCGCTCTCAAATAGACAAAATAGTTTTACTCATGTGTCCTCCCGTGCCCCGCACGACTGTGGACGAAGTTTCGTCAGAGTATGTTTGTGTATACGCCCGGTGGGGCCTAACCAATAGCGTCGCAGGACGATAAAACGTCGCTGTTGCATTTACAGCCGTTGCGGTATCACCAGCCATTGCCATAGCACCCCGCTCGAAGTACTCACCGCTGTCAGCGCTCACCAGGTCGAGTGCATTGTACTTTGTACAGCCAATCAGATGGTCTAAAGAGCATCCTTTCTAAGAATCTGTGTTTGTGCCGGAATAATGGAAGCGTCTAGCTCAACGTACGCGTGAACGATACGCTACTTGCCGTTCAGCCTACGGACACAAAACGTGGGTGTTGAATGGAGAGATTTGCTCTCACACACCATTCCTGCGTCGTGCTTCGCACGAAAACAGGCGTCAATGACATTACATAGCTCCTTGGACAGGCTCGTTGGCGTGTTACGCAGTATTTGGTTCGTTGATCTCATGACGTTTACCTTGGTCCGGAGTAGGACCGACGGCGGGTCTTGAAGACTACGTTTTGAAATTTCCTTGTTAAGAGATAGTATGGATCCGAAGGATCTTTCAATATCGATGATTCGCTACGTGCGTTCAACACCCTTTTGGTGTCCTCCAAGACAGCTTCATCCAAAAGCATAGAGATAATTTCCTCGTTCGGTCGTATAATGACCTCGGCAAAATCGCCTGCCTTCAAAGCACCACTAAACTCTCCAAAGGACATCTCGTTCGACTCGAATAGAGCATCCACTTGTCTAGGGTTGCCGTCTTCCACCCGACATGCAGTTGACAAGGATGTATAGCTGTGCGCTATCGTCTACGGTAGACAAACCATGGGTCAGAGTCGACGCCCTGCGTCTTGCAGATAACACAGAGAATCGCCGTCTCTTCTCTATAGAGGTTTTACTCCTCGTCGAGACTAGTGGGAACACGCTCACAGCGTCGTCCAGCGTCCCCACTCTTTGCTCCATTGGAGCCGTGATATTATCAACAACATCCGACGAAGATCTGCTATTTCCGCAGTCATTATCCAGTGGATAACGTGCCACTCCACGCGCACCAGAAGGGCCTTGCCCAAGATGCCTCGGACCTCGTCCGACTTGGTATGCAGCAACTGCTTTGATACTTGAGCAGTGCTCAGTGGGTAACGTGCCACTCCACGTGCATCACTAGGATCTCGCCCTCGATTCATCGACCCTAGGCCGACCATGGCACTCTTGGCATGCAGCAACTGCTATGACACGTGAGCAGTGTGCTCAGTAGGATACGTGCCACTCCACGTTCAGCCCGCGACCCGTGCTCGGGACTCTTGTTCGATACATTTTCGGTGTTCGTCAACTCGGCACTCTGATATCCAGCACATTGGCCGTACTGGTCTAGTGCCCGCGCCAATAGCGCATCTACTATCTAGCAGAAATAGGTTTGTGATTCACTAAAGCTGCACCAAGGGAATTGACCTTCAATCGATGCATGGCTCATAGTATTCCAACCATGCCATACCAAGGATAATGTCATACCCTGAATTCAAGTCTAAGAATAGGCAGCATTCAACACTATCGAAGTCAAGAAATATGACACCGAGGTCCACCGGACTCTTCAGTACCGTGACACATGTCCCTGTCGCTAAGCGAACAGTGACGGTGTCACTCAACCGCGCTTTCAGCGTCTCAGCATACAGCTGACTTCCTTCGGTCGTGGAGCGTCAAGCATAAATGTCCGACGCCCCGGAGTCGATCAGGATTTCCCAAAGCCTTCTCTGTCGCTTTTACGACCAGCAAGCCAGGCTTGCATACACGTTTCATTTTTAAAAGTACGGAGCTCTTCAGCTGTTGCCCTCTACCTCCTTGAGGCTTAGCAAAACTAACTTCTTCCCCAGTTGGGCGCCTCGCGACTACAGGGGGTTTGACGTTGACCCGCGACAAACCAGACTGGTGAGAAGCGGGACGTTGGCTCGATGAACCCTGATGCGCCTTGCGCAGGGGACAACCTGTCCAAAAGTGACGGGTGTCCCCATAGACAGAACACCTTCGGGTATTTATATGCTGCTCGGCAGAACGAACCCCCCCACCCTTTTCTCAGAATAGCTGAGATCCATTGGCTCAGGCCCGCCAGACGAGCTCTGAGGATGTGCATTCCAACTATATCATGACGACTTAGAGTTTAATTCGACATTCAATGGCACATTCACCGCTTCTTCAAAAAAGACGGATGCACACAAAAGACTTCCATTCTGGCCACGCCAGTGCGCATGCCCTCCATAAATACGGTCACTGTGACCGCTTCCGGGAGAGGATCTGCTGCTATCCCGGCAATGAGAGTACGCAACTCTTGGACAAAATCCACTAATTTTATTCTTGCCCTGTCTGGTGGCAATAAAACTCGATTGCGCGCGATATGCCTGGTTAGTCGGCGAGAACACACGTAAAAGCGGCAGCTTCAGCTCCGTCCAGAAGGGATTACACCGCTGCAATTGCACACATCAGTGCCCATCTCTTGCTCGGTCACCAAGCTTGGAGATAGCTAGTTCCACGCCCTATTGCTCAGTTTGGAGAATGGCGGACATCATAGCCATATCGGCCTCTCTCACCCAGAGCAAGAGATTTTCTCCATCCTTACCTTCGAAATTCTTAACGCTCACCATGAGCGGCCTGGGTGCGAAGCAAGGTGTTACACGCCCTCAGGGCCAAGCAGAAACATCATTTTTTTCCCGTCCTGCATGCCCTGGGGCAAATAGAAGAATTGCTCTTTCCTCACAGAAGATCAGTCGTAACGACTCAGGCTTTGCTCAACTACTAGTGCTACCAAGTGCAGTTTGGCTGTCGTAGACCTTACGTTCTATACTAGTACCAGTATGAGTGTAACGAATGGCAATCTGCTATACCCAAAACCTTAACACAAGGCAAATGTACTCTTCTGTTCAACATTGATACTGTATTTTTATTTTATTTGAGGCAAAGCCGCCTAACTCTAAATCGCTAGGCGTTCCATAGTAATTAGTAAGACCTAATTAATACGCATAACTACTGGCACCCCGCCAAGAAGTAGCTACTTATTACGGTGCAGCCACACCATCGTGTGATTACACCGTCTTGTGTAATCCACACCTTTATACGTTCACACCATCTCGTGTGTATGCCAGGGTACATGTAGCCCTGTTACAGGTACGATAGAATGGGCTACCACGCTGGGGCGGACGACAAGCCTCTTACGGGGATTGGTAACGTCCGGTTGGCCGCTCCGCGCCTGCTGGGAAAGATCTGGCCTCCTGTTTGTATCTTATGCAGGTCGTGGCTATTGGGGCCTTATTTTTAGGGGATTGGCATTTTCAAAGAGACGTGAGGCTCACAGCTCACGGTTTTTGGTTGTTCATGGCAACCTCTCGAGTTTCTGAAAGTCCGCGAATGTACCAGGGCTGGTTTAAGTACCTGGGGAAGTCGAGAGATATCTTTTGCCTGAGAGCTTGCGAGAGATTGAGCCTTTACTTCAGCCAAATTGCTAAGGTGCGTGGCCACTTAAGACCTTGCGCTACCTCGACTTACGACTCCTTTGGCCATGAGGCAAACGCAGCCCTCTTCCCACTAAATGATGGCGACCGACCATGCGGTAAACAATCTTGTTAGTTACATGTTACTGCTGTCTCGTGTTGACGAGCGGGACCCTTCACAACAGAATACTGTGTTGATGAAAGATCACTTCGACGATCACGTTGAGCCTTGCGTTATGCGAGTTGCAGCATTAGAAGAACCGCTAGGCGGTCGCCCCCTCGCTACGCCAACTTGGAATACCTTTTGACATATGAGATGACGTGTTCTCCTTGCTCATCGCGTGGATTGAGTCGTAAATAGCCTGCTGTACTTTTGCCAGTTTTAAATGCTGAGGGTATATTCATCATAATGGTTTGGTTCTCCTTGAACGCTATTGCTCCAAACATAGACGGAAATTCTGGGGAATGATGATCTGTGGGCTAAAAAAGCACTTGCGGGCGACTTTCTTTTGCTGATTGCTTTCTAAGTGCAAGCATGTTGCCCGCACACATTGGCTCATACGCTCCACATTAGTGCAAAAAGCATTTTTGGACGGTACTAACCGTATTTACGGCGTGTATTTGGCAAGAATTGGTGCAATTTTTTCCTTGCAGTAAAGTAGCTGAACAGTTTGAGACAGGTCGAGCTCGTTGGTAACCAGCTGGTCATCGTCGCAGCTCTTCTTGACATTGAAAAAGGGCGTGGCCAAACTTAGTGAGCAACTCCTACTTGGAGGGCGGCTAGGACGTGCATCGCCGGATTAGAGTGGAGGTGATTAGCTGGAAATCGAAGAGGCACTAGAGCCGTTCTCATCGAAGGATACATCGGCATCCTCATCGGAAAAGTACGTCGATCGCGACAACCACGCTATCGGCAAAAGATGATTGAGTCATTTAATCTGGTTTGAGATTGCAGACTCCCAGTGAAATTAGAGAATACGAACGATAAAGGTCCGAAATGGAGTGATATTTCAGATGCAATGGTTGATCTTGAAGTGGTACTTTTTCGTTGTATATTGAAAGAACAAAATGAGTGTGAGCACGGATTAATTTGCATCCTAGTGAGAGAGTAAAACTGGGTAATAACTATACCCTTGTGTACTTACTATATACACATTTGGTAAAATTGTGTAAACTACGTCAACTGATGCTCGGTTTCACGAAGTTCAGCACACGGCACAGACGTCGAGGTGTATATTCAACCACCTCCCGTTCTTGTTGTCAACACCATCGCTCTTCTCAATCAGACGACTGATACAGCTACCGACCACGTGACGAACTTGCTACAAGCCACCCCTTACTAGTAGATGTGAGGTATGAAGGATGACCTGTCGCTTTTCGAAGGGCAGAAAGACCGAGGGTGCGATGGGTCATATGCGGCGTCGACATCAGGGCAAACTTTCCAAATTGAGCACTCAAACTCACGAGAGTTATAGAGAGAAATAATATTGCTCACTTTACTAAATACTGATAATAAACTTGGCATACCCCCTCTCACGAATCATTTCACATTAGAGTGAGTCACCCTTCACATATTGAGCTGCGACGACTCTCTGGTGGCTCGCTCCCGCAAGCTCAGTCGATAGCCGCAGCTCGACGACTTTCTTGAGAGACTTGACGTGTGGCCTAAATTGACATTATCAGTTCTCAGTTGCGCTTTAAGACAACGCGATCACACCGTGTGATTTTATGCACCCCAAGGAGTTTGTGACCGCGTCGCTGCTATGTAATAAAGCGTAGGTTGATGTTTGAAACGCTGCTCCGTCGAAAAGAGACTATCTCAAATTCGACTGACTTGTAAGAGCGGGGTCATGATATGACTCAACAAGACAACGTCGTGCACAAGATGGGTTTGTATTTTGGTCAGGGTACTAAGAGTATAAATCCACAATTGTTACTTTGCACCGATACGATCGATGTGATGTAGCGTGGTCGCAACTATACCTTAAGAGACGCATACGCTACTCGTGTATGTAGGCAATCAGTCTTATATAGACCCTCTCTCCTACTGCATGTTCATGTGTGTTCTGCCTGGCTCTGTTTTTGTCATGAAATTTATCCTGGTTCTCCCTTACTTAATCCTTTGGAATAAAGTTTGTGATTTTGGTACAGATTTAGCCAAGCAGAATTCAGCGACTCGATTGGTATGGTCCGCAACTCCAACTAAGGCTAGAGCAACGCTTTGGAGGTGGCAGGGAATAACAAAAATGGTTTTAAAAACAAGGTAAACTTAGAGCGGTGTTCGCTGAATTAATATATTGCAATCTCAGCGCGTGGGGGCTACTTGATTTAGCACAGATGTACCCGCCCGAGTAATTCGGATAAATTCTTTCAGCATGTGATTAGCGTGCTCCGTATGTCCATCTGTCCATCTGTCTCTAAAATCAGCATACATGTTCAATTTAACTCAGACAAAGATTGTCAAAACATAGCGCGGGAATCCTTCTAATACAATAGCAGCTAGCAAGTCATGTTGACGAGACACTTTTCCGATGAACATCTTGGCCGTATCACCATCGAATATGGCGTCATTGACAGCAGCGAGATAAGTCATCTTGCTCAGACGGTCTACAAGACCCGCAATGTCGGAATTGTCATACGCGTCGTGGCTGAGAAAACATCTATGCTAATTGAGTACCAGCACTAACCGGGAATCAGCAAGCTGTTCAGAGCACCGGCGAATGTGGTTTGGGTTCATCCACCGACACCTTATCCACGTGCGTATAGATATGCTTACCAAATTATACATGTTCGGCCACAGATACATAGAATTCACCGAACAGGATTTTTTCCGATGCGGCCGCTCATAGGAATATCGTGTAAAATGTGAACTATTCTGTACTTAAGGTTTTCATGGTGAGATACCGCCACCCGCAAAAGTCATGTAAATGGGACAGTACTGTTATACAGCAAGATTACAACCGTGCGCTTAGATTTAGCGGCATCAGTTTGCTGTAAAATCTTCAACAACGTACTACATTATATATCTGACCCGAACACTTTTCGTTCCGCCTCATCGATTGAAGACACCACCGTCGTCACTTACGAGAATTTATATTCTGTGCGATGTGGGAATGCATTTGCCATAACACTTAGTGGATTCAGCTTATACCTATACTCATCAAAAAATGATATCCATTTTGTCGTTCTCTTTGGGAAGTATAATGATGAGTTCACTGCGAAATAGTGCATAATCGGTATAGATCACGCACGGCCTCGAGCCAAGCAGGTTAGTTCAAAACTTTATATATATATTTTAATCACGAGTTCCTTCCCACCAGCCCCTGCACTGGAGAAAATATACCATATTGCAAATCCTAATGCGTCCCAGACGACATGAAGTGACCGGTCTGGACCTGGATGGCCGACACACAAGCTTTTATACACAGACTTTGAAGTTGCCTCATGTATTTGTACCTAGCTCCACTTGATATTCTTTCAAGGAAATTGCTATGGGTTCGGGACATGTCGACATGGTTGACACTATCCTTGTGCAAATAGCTCATCAGAAAATGCCACACTTTAAACAACATTTGGGGTAGAGGTGCTGGCCTTTTCAGCTTTTAAAATTTGTGGCTCGATGAGTTTCAAAACCCTATCCTTTCTCGCGGCAAGAAGCTGAAGTAAGTCATACACTGCTTCCTCAAATGAAGCAGTGTGCATGCGGAAGGTCTCAATGTGAGCCACACTCATCCTTATACCCATTACGAAAATCGTAACGTCTATCGTGATCACATAAGAACCTGATGCCAATGCAGCGATAATAGCTTTATAATTTGCAGCGTAGTTCACCATTTCTTGCACCATTTACGAACTAGAAATAATTGTGAACGGCTGTGTGAACACTTGCAATCGATACTTGCAATATATGTCGCTTGAAATACTTCCCCTGTTGGGAGCGCCTTTTTATAGTGGGGCTGTTTGCTAGTGCCCGTTTGTGAGTGCGGCCTCCTGATCTGATATCACAAGAGAGACGCGCTGTTGCTCCATTTGGAGCATAGATATAACACGACCATCTCAGTTTTTCTCGTCTGAATGGAATCGTTCTCCGCCCCGGACTTCAAAAGGCTGGGTGCTCAAAATCATAAGTATCACGGTTGATGTCGTCTTTTTCTTAGCTGGCACCCAGTTGAGGGCCTCGTATGGGTGTATAACGAGTGCCTCAACATAACTGGTGCATGCCTTCAGACTAACAATCACCACATCTGAATTTTTGGCCGCCAGCCCTCCCATCCTGTCCAGACCAACAAAATTACCTCTCGAGCGTGTCTAGCTGTTCAGACCAACACTTCTTGCGCCAGTTAACGAAAGTTGGTGAAATTTTTTGCGAGTGCCTTGGTTTCTTCGAAAATGTGTTCAGATTAGCCAAGTGGTAATGGTCTCGTGCTGCAATTCCTTGGTTGAGAGCACAACAACTTCAATGACTCAATCTGATCAGACAGTGTTTATGGCTCACAGTCACTAACCTCGTTAATTTCATCATTCAGATAGAAGATTCACAGAAGATTACTTTTCGGAACTACAAAGGTAAGCTTATGGATGATAAATTTAAATGAAAATAATTTGGCTTCCAACAAATCAACACTCATACCGTATTTTTATGCGATTATCTGACAGGGTACGCTAGTTGAGTACATGGTTCTGACTGAGTTCATGGTTTTGGAGCTTAGTCCAACCAGTTGATCATTTCCAAATAATTTCAGTACCCATAATCGTCTCAACTGGAATACCAACCTGGTCATGGGACTTCGTCTTCTCCTAACTGCGTCTCTCTGTCTATCTGCAAACTGACAGATTGCTTCGGGGACTGTCAACCACAATCCAAAGACGACTTCGGACAGTATCGAGGTATTGGCTACACACACCTCAACAGGCGTCAGCGCTGAAGATCAAAAGATTGTTACAGGGAGGTCCGCCTTCAGCAAGAATGGTGCAGACATGGTCAAGAAGACTATTGATAAACTCCCTCCGATACCTCAAGGTCCATATGGGATTAAGATAAAAACCAGAATCGAGAACTCCAAAATATTAAATGAACAAGGTGTCATTGAAAAGAGACGGAGCCAAGAAGAAGAAGAAAAAACAAAGAGCTCAATAAAGCTATACGCCTCAATAAGATCCTGTAGTTCGTGGCGCTTGATGTCGACCGTGGCAAGATACACGGACCCAAAGTTGTGCACAAATGAATGCTGTAGCGCCGCTTGAACTTCTGCATCCTGGAATACGATACGTCTTGCGGATAAATGAGTTTGTTCGCCTTCTTCCAAAAAATGCTAAGAGCTGCGTTAGCATGATGCAGCTGCACAAATCTCATCAAGAGCAGCTCCATGTCTGGGATTTGGGGCTGGCGCCGGTGTCGCAAATTTAAGTATAGTAAGACAGGTGGTGACGTGGGTCGTCGAATGACCAATGGTCTTACTCAGATAGTATCTATGAAGTGAGCTCTTTGTGATGGAGATAAGGGTTTGCCTTCGCGAAGGCAACCAGTTCGTGCTTCTGGCTGTGGTCAAGCTTGTTTACGCGACTGAGAATGACTTGGATTTTGATAAATGCTTTTGGAATTACTATTCGGGACAAACATACATTGTTCTTAGAGCCATGTGCTCGTATATTGTCCAGCCGTTTCGTTTTACTTGGAATTTTTTGTGATGTGTTTTTGCAATGGGTGTCCTGGTTCTCATGCAGAATATGCTCTTATATGATGGGCCCTTCTATTATAAGCAGACTGTAGTAAACTTCTGAAATGAAGGAACCCGTGATCTGGTCCGTGAATTAGGACGATTTTAGTATGAGAGGATAAAAACACTTATATAATTTATGCCTGAGAAGAATTATGCTAGAACCTAAAAACGACCAATCCAGATTGTAGTTCATGTTCCATTTACTCTCTTTAAATTCGATTATTTTTTTGGTTCCTCCCAGGATTGTCCTTCTGTAATTGAATCCAACCTGAATGCTTAGTATACTCAGGTAATCTTATTGAAAGTTGTGACCTGGACTATGCTTGAAAAAGTGTTGGCCACATTCTTAGTTTGCGAAACAAATGAGCGAAATGCGATTGTGGTGTTGTCTCATGTGTCGTGATGGCGTAATGGACACAATGCGTTTTAAGAATGATAAGGCGCGCATTACGGTTGGTCTGTTCTGCAATATGGCAGATTTCGAGAAGGTGGACTCCGTCTTCATTTACGGCAGCAAGAAGCCTCGCTCTTTTCGTTTTCCATTGATTGAGCACAGTTCCGCTTGACATCCAGTTCTACGCGAACAAGAACTCATGAATGACGCGCGTTCTCGTCTTGAAATGGCCCCACCGCTTAAAACTCAAGATACACAGCCGTAAAGCGCTGCTGTTGGTAGACAACGCGTCATCTCATGATAGCATGAAGCTAGTCAGCGCAAAATCTTTCTAGCAGCACTCGACGCTGATGTCATCGAAAGCTTCATGTGTAAGTACAAGAAGCTTCTTTTACGACTTTAGTCGTCCATCATATTCGCGTTCTCGTGAGATTGATCTTCACGAGTTTCGTGACCGACGTGGTGGTGCCACTTAGAGGTTGAAGAACTATTTGGCTAAATGAAAGCTCGAGTGATGACACGAACCGCGTATTTATGCGCTATTGAGCCGATTAAATGCGCTGAAGGAGAATCACGAAGTCTCATGTATGTATCGTATGTCCAGCAATCCGATCTAGATTCCGTCCAGTCAGTCTACACTCGATTCTGGGCATGGATTCGTGCAACCAGATCTGTGGATATACACCATTTGCAAAATGCAAATACGGCTGCAGACATGTTAAAGGAATGCGATATGCGCTTTCGTTTTGCCTATAGACCAGTGCATAATCTAATTCATTCCGATATCGAGGATGCTCGCAAAGTACGTGCGATCATTAGGCAAATTCACGACAAGAGGGATAAAGAGAGAAGAGGAAGGGGCAGATTTCCAAAGCGGAGTCAGTCTTTGGACCCGAATCAAACGCGAGAGCGATCTTGAGATTGTAGGATACGATTTGGAGTGCCTCGCGTATTCTCGCTCGCTGGCATTTCACCAAGTACGCCTTCCGACCGCGGACGTTCCAGCAACGATTTTCGAGTCCCCCACTTTCATGAGAGACATCACCCGTCGCACAAAGCGGTATTACAGGTGTCGTAAGTTATTCATAAGAAATGGCGTAAAGCCAAGTAGATGAATGAGCTGAATAGTTCATAGCAGAATCAACCAATGTTAACGACGAGCTTATTCCGCGGGATTTTTCGCGCTGAAGCTTCTCAACATATCATCGAACACTCGGTTGGCACAATGTGTTTGCCCATCGGTCTCCGTGTGCACCGCCGTAGAAATATCAAAGCGAATGCCAGGAAAACAAAAAATCGTCTCAGAAGCAACTCGTGAATCGTGTATCATGATATGAGACGATGGCGTCTGGCAACCCGTAATTGCAAAAAACGTGATCAATGAACAATCTAACCGAACCTTCGGCATCGAATGAATCACTTCATGGAGTGATGCGCACCATCTTGCTGAATCTGACGACAAAGACGAGCACTCCATTGTCACCGTCAACATTCTCGGGGATACTGAAGACAAAGTCGAAATTGACTGACTTTCAGCGGTCAATAGGAGCAGAGAGACTTTACAGTGGCACTTCCGTTTGTCTTGCGATGACAGACATCGCATGTCCTCACGTATCGTGCCACTCAGTTGTACATGTGGGTCACCAAAATTAAGCTCTGGGATACTGGTAGGTCTTCTCACGGATAAGTGGCCGATCATGCGCCTCGTACACTATCTTGTACTTTAAATCATCGTGTTGGGGACTCAAAAATCGTGGCTCGTCATCATGTGTAACTTCATCGTGAGTGGGACCATCCTTCCATGCATACCGTTGCATCCGTGACCAAGAAGTTTGTCTTGGGGTCTCATATCACTCGATTACGGTGTCTCGTTGATCAAATCAGTCTATTTATCTATACGCTCGATGATCATATCTAATACATCGTGTTCGACATAGCTAATATGGTTAGCTCCTAATCAAGACGACGTTAAAAATGCGTCATCCTGCACGTTCACTTTACCCGGCTTGTACGCGACCGTGAAGTTGTAATTTGCGAAGAATAACACCTAGCGAGCTATCCGGTGTGACAAGTGAGAAGACTGAGCTACATATTGCAAGAGTGATCCTTGTAGACGACAAACGGAGACGAACCCAAGAGGTGAACACGATACCTCACCACAGCATAATTCAGTGCCAAAAGCTTCTTGCCGTGTACAAATTAATTCCTTTCTGTTGGCTTCGGCTGTCGCGATTGAAATGACACGACTTGATTGTGTCCTTCTGATTCTTTTTTGTAATAACGCATAATCGATTGCAAACTCAGAAGCATCCAACACCACGCTATATGGCTTCGAGACACGTGATGAAGCAGGCAATGGCGTTTTCATCGAGTTATTCTTAATTTGAGTGATTGCTTCTTCACAAGCGGACGACCACTCCCATAGTACGTCCTTCTTCAGCAAGATTAATAGCGGACGTGCCATGTCCGCGTAGTTACGCAAGAAACGATGCAGGTAATTGGACAGACCAAACTCAAATCCCTTTGATTTTATGGCATTGGCCACTCCACGATTGCTCGACCTTCTCACGGTTTACACGAACATCAAGCTAACCAATAACAACCGAGGATCGGTACTTCGTTAGCACCGAAAATACACTTTGTTGCAAGATTCTCTTGCAACGAAATGTTTGCGCATACTTTATCCGGGTTACACGTACCGTTGTATGAAAGGGCAGGTCGCACAAGATGGTGTGACCGTACATAGGTGTACTTTGCATAGGTTGTTGTAATCACAGAATGGTGTGGTCACATCGTAAAAAGAAGCCACTACGTGGCAGGATTGCCAGTAGTAAGGCATATTAATTAAGTTTTAGTTTTAGTATTTTGATTATGTATTGCTATTAATTAGGAGATCTAACATTTTAGATATCGGCGGCTATACCGCAACTCAAACAATAAAATACAGTTTCGATTTTGAACAGAAGAGCGTCTTTACCTTGGTTTAGGTTTTAGTACTTGGAGGCAGCAGATTGCGATCTACTGGCTACTTGCGCAGTCATATGGGGTCGCTTGTGGGAGGCTTGTCCGGTAATTCAGCAAATACGGCTTTTTGTGTCTGGGGTGTAGTGACTTTTAACCTTACTTGCCGCATCGAAAAAACGAGATTTTACGCTGCGTTAATCCTGCTACAGCATTCCTCACGCTTGCAATATGACCACAGCGATGTCGTGCCAGCTCTGGTCATACACAAATGCATAGACCGCGAGGTGCTGGCTCGCGACTACAGCTTAACGGTGGGAAAAATCCCGTTCATCTCCTCTATCTTCCTCCTTCTCATCAGCAGCACTTCTACATCATTTTGTACGGTGTAGGGTTCACAGTGGCTTCATGGAAGCCGTTTTCAATGTCGGTGCCGGTGTTAGTGTCGAGCGGGGCGGTGAGGCTGAGGTGACGAATGAGAGCGCTGACCCCGAAGAGAACATCACATCGACACAATCGTTGGATGACTTGAGCAGAGCAGCCATGGGTGCTGGTATGATACCCGTATCGCACCACACGTTACGTTGTAATAAGTAAGACCCAATTACATATGTTGATTGATCCACATGCTTGTATGTGTTAAAGTAACTTTCGATCCTGAATAGTTACATCACCCTCCATCTTGTTATATCAAAGTTTGGAGGCACTTGTCACTTGAGGGAGGGTTTATGGTTTACTAACTGTGCTATGTTTGATAAAAGTCACTTCACCTTTCCCCTATTTCAATTAAATCAACGGCTTGCAGGAAATAAGCTTATTAAAGTCTCCCTCAGAAAGTGAATGTTGGCAGCACCAGTAGTCACTCCAACGCCGACTACTTTGATAGTTTCATCAATGGACAATGTGGACGCCACAGGTGGTGGATGCCCTCAGATCAAGAGTGAGGGGTGATTTTTTCCTAGCACACTTGCAATGTGAGTGTGTGGTGAGTCGCAATCTTTTATCAGAGATCACACGGTCTCCGACATGCTTTGATAGGATCAAGAAGCGATAACTTAATGCTTAGCAAATTTTGCAGAGTATGAGCAAGAATTATTTGGATTTTTCCTAGAACATCTAGACGCCGGTTCCATCACCTCCACAAGTGGTGGTAACACCGTCGGTACGCACGGAACGTTCCGTAAAAATCTAGGTGAAAAGCTTTCCCGGAAACGGAGATGAAAATCTTGCGTTCCGGGAGCGAAAAAAGGAAATCGCTATCGCGATGGCTTAATTTCGTGATAACAGTTGTCAATTGGTCGTTGCCATGTCGCATTTGGATGGCCACGCGAGGGTTAGGCAATGAAATAAAAAGCTACCGCCCTAGGCAATTTTGCCACATGACAAGAGTTGAAGACAGCCAAGAAATCGATGCTTTTTCCACCGAATGTGGTATTTCGAAAACGCTTGTAGTTTCTGTCATCAAGTCAAAGCAACAGTACATTATACGACTATGTACGGAAGCTCCGTAAACTTCGTGCCAGTATGGCAAACGAACCACTGCCTTCGGCAGTGATGGTCACTTTGTCTTTGAGGGACTCACACTTCATCTTCCTATGTCTGAAGCCTTCCGTCAGAGACCAACGGCTTTGGATGATCTAATTATGATTGCATTGCGTGAGGACTAGTAATAGCGTCAAGCACGTGATCAATCGATAAATCCGATAGAAGCAGTAACAGCTACTGCTGAAAATCCAGAACCAATGAATCTAAGTGCGGCGTCTGTCTGAGGGCAGCAAATATACTGTTATGGATGTCAACAATATGGTCACATCCGCCGTGATCATCCACGTTGGAGACGAATCTCTCAATACAGTTCTCGTCGTAGTGGTTTCCAACGCACGAGGTACCAATATCACGAGTCGTTCGGAAAACGCCGGTTCTCAGTAGACACAGGGCGGTCTACTGGAACAAATATGTGTGGTGGTAAATCACATATGATGATTTAGACCTTGATCGATCGCTGTCCTTCGATAACGACACAAGTTGAAATGGGCTTCTCGTTATGT